AAGCTGGCAGCAGAAGTAAGAAAAAGCAAGAGCAATGCCCTGCTCACCTCAGGAATAAAGAAGCTTCTCAGAGATGCACAAATACATAAACACATTTATATACACATATGCAAATAAGTTGAAAGAGAACCGTAGCAGCATCTGAAGAATGAAGCATTCAAACACAGGTACACATTTACATGAGCACAAAACAGGCCCCAGTTGTAGAAGGCTAAATAACCCACAGATTATAAACTACCCACCACAGTAAGGTACCACATATACTCAGCACAAGTTGGTTTAGCCCTAGAGAAGATGACCAAGAACCACAAAGAAAAAAAAAGAGAGAAGGTCTGATGGCACTTTCTAAAGAAAAACTGAATGCTCACAATACAGACCAACTCCTTATTTTGGGGAGTTCAGCAACAACCTGAAAGGAAAAAACATCTTAAATATGCCATCACAAAACCTGCCATACAATTATTTCTGAACTCCCACAATTTAAACATTTTGAATTCTAATTAAAATATATACATTTGAACTTTTTTCTTATTATCTGAACATATACTTGAACAACTTAACAGGCTGCAACATACAGACATTTAAATATTGCAGGCTGCATTTCTCTCCCATGTTTCAGATTGTTTGTTGTTATTTGTTTTCTGGTGGTGGTTTTTTTTGTTTGTTTGTTTTTTATGCCAAGCTCTCATCCCTGACAGTTAAGAAGTTTGTGTGTTATCTAGCAAGACTTTCCTGACTGTTATGATGACTTCATGAGGGGCACGTATTCCTGTTCCTATACCACTTTTTTTGTTTGTTTGTTTAAACTAGCCTGCTTCCCTGCACAAACTTCCAGCAGTTCTCACCCTCCAGATGAAGCTACAGTTCCAAACTCTGGTCCACAGACAGTTCAGCTCTCACATTTCCAACTTCTTCACCCTAATAGCGTACTTCGTTAATAATGATGGGAAGTATTGGAGACATTCCAGGTAATGTTTTGCAAGCTCAACTCTGATGTCTCACTCTTCTGTAGAAAACTGTATTTTCTATTTCACAAAAAAAAAATAACAACTTCTAGATTTTCCACTGCTTTGTTGTGTCACTGTCATGCCTCAGCTTGCCCACTAGTAGCACAGAGAATAACCATATGCATCTGTTACAAAACGTATCTTTTTGCAGAGATATGTTTGAAAAAGATATGTTTACACTGTACTTTGTTATACAGCCACTGTTTAATCCCTTCCCCAACATTTTGCCTAAAAAGTCTTATACTATGTTACACAGACATATTCTGATGACAACTTTATTCTCTTTATTTTTTATTTCTTCATGGTTTCATCTGTCATTTCAATTGTAAACGGACTTCACAAACAAGTTTCTTTTAGCAGCCTTTACAGATTGATTTGAAGAGAGGTTCATGTATTTCATCTGTACCACATGACAACATATAACCTTAAAAAAATCTTGCACTTAGAAAGCATGTTGCAATTCTAAGTAAAAGAAAACAAAACTCATAACTCCAAAACAAACAATTTCTTACTTCGAATTGCGCATTGCTGTCAATAGCATCATTGTTTCCATAGTTACAAATGTAGACTGCTTCAAAGGCAAAACGGAGAGAAACTAAAAATGACAATACACAATCAAAACAGGCACATACAGTTTTCAGAGGCACACATGGGATGGAGAAAGGAAGTAGCATGGTGGCACAATTCTACTGTCAAATACAAAAACACTGCAGTGCTAGTGATCTGAGCACATCAAGTTCAGAACAGTATGAAGTAGTAAACCTCTCACTGCAAAACCACTCGATACATTTCTACACCTAGTGAAAGGATGAGGAGAACAGAAAGCAAGAAAAACATCAGCAGGAATCACCAAAGTATACGGAGCAGGTGTGCCTCTCTCATCTGCAGACCCAGCCACCTGCAGACTCAAGTACAAGTATTTTTAATCGAGTTTCCTTCGGTTGCATTGTTGTTGTTTTTGTATAGTTGTGAGACACTCAATTCCTTTATATCACTGTTATCACAGATGCCAAAACATATGTGCCCTAGCTAGCATTGACAGTAAGCATTCCAGGATGGGATAGAGCATCAGGTGGCACAGCAGGTAAGTACAATGGATAAAAATCTGTATGAAAAGAGACGAGACCATAAAACAAAATGTAGTCTCACCACACGAAAGGCACTCCACAGAATCTAGTTACTATACTTTCCTTCAGTATCAAATTCCTGCCCCCTACATACCATTTATTTTACTTTAACAGCAACCAACTACTCCAGAATAACATGACAGCATCCTCACGATGTTCACACTGAATAGGGAGGAAAATTCTATTTTTACAGTTGGAATTCCTGAGGTCCATAAATGTGGATATATCAAAGTCAATTCCGTAACTAGGAGAATCACACTGAAACCAAAAGCAGCATTCACACTCTGCACTAACTGCAGCAACGTCACTACTCTTTTCAGAAGAAATTGCATATTGTGTGTATATATTCGTTTATTTTTAATTAAATTACGTTTCACATCCTTTAGTCTACTCTGGCATTTGCATTTACAGCATAATAGTAACAAACTCTGCAGTTTCCACTGGAAGCAAGATGCAACCATAGGTTGTGACAGCATATTCAGAAATGCTGAGTATCAACGCAATTCTTCTCTCAAAGTGAGTGACAGCACTTAGAAAAATCCCACCTACTACGTCCTTCCTTGATCTCACAGGCTCTAGGGAATACAGTTCTCATAATTTTTTTCTAACAATCTTCTTTAAGTGAACACTTGATAAAAGCCACATGAGAGCATCACATTATATGCAGTCAACACTGAAAGTCATCTCTTGTACAAGCAGAAGACAATGGTTATTAGAAGTTGGTAAAAGAGCATTAGAACACTGTTACAACAACATTTTTAAGGTATCACATCTGATATTCTTGTAGAAACTAAGCATCCCAGAAGACGGTAAATTAAGAAGTACCCTGAGATTACAAGTTTAGCATTTTCAGTACAGGGGTACTGGCATACAACCTTCAACAGTTGACACAAAAACAGAACACCTCCTTAGTTTCGTTACAATACTGGAAGAATCAACTGTTACTAGTACTAATCAGCTTTGGCAAAAGCTCTTTTAACATGTGGGGCGGTGAGGAAAGCAGAGAGAGTTCAAGTCTCAATCACAAGAACTCAGATTAGAGCAACCTTACTACTACAAAATAAGACTATCACCTCTCAAATGAAGCTAGCTCAGACAGCAATGTAATGACCATCAACCTTCCAAATTAGAACTCTTAATCCTTTCAGCCTATACTTAACTAAAGAAAGTAAGAACAGATCAGAAAGATAAACAAAGGTTTAGAAGGACCAGCAGTATGTCTAAAATGAGGTTCTTCAAAAAGACAACTCCTACTTATTTAATTATCTGTGGCACACAGAAGATGAAACAGGATAAATTAAGCTCTGAAACTAGGGAAAACTGCACATTATAAACCTCAATTACATTTGAAGTATTGTCTTTAAGACTTAACTTCCAGCCCTAAATTAATGTTGCTGAAATCTAAGATTCCTGTATGAGCAGAGAGCAAGCATTCTACTGTCTTATGTCTTTTAAGTGCTGACTGAAATGGACTCTGTTGGAGGGAAAGTAAAAGCAGGAGTTTTAAATTTTTCATGTTGGCCTCAGGCTACTGGCAGAAAAAAAAAATCAGGACTTTTTCCAAGGTATGTCAGTATTAATGATGTGTCACATGTCATTACTTTATAATTAGGCTGATAGCCAAAAAGAATAATGCAACTGACATTCTATTAAAATAAAAAGTATTCCCCAAGGCATAAAAGCACTGACATACAAGCATCTTAAAAGTCAGGGTAAAAATGATATAAGGAGCTATTTATGTTTGTTACTACCCCTTCTATCATAGAGTCAAATAAGCATTCAGAATTAGATGTGCACAGAATATTTAATTCAAAAATTCAGCATAAAATATATTTCATTTCTGAAAGCAGAATGTAATGAAGCTCTTCTTTCTCTGAGAATACAGGCTACTGTAATACACTGTCTACACTTAATATTCTATTCTGCATTTCAATAACCTGTGTTTCTTCAGTCTGCCAGATGAGTAACTAATCAGAAACCAAAAGACATTTTAAAAAAATAAAAACCAACAAAAAACAAGCCTACATGTCAACACTTTTCTATGTACATAAAGTGCAATAATGACTCTATAAGTATTTAAAGCTTTGAACTGTTAATCTGCAAACACCAAAATGTCATTCTGTAAAGAAGGGTCTTTACATTTTCTATAGAATACGCCTGACAGAATGAGGATTTAGGAAACGCAGGTCTGAAACTACACGTAGCTTAGGTTGTATTTATTTCAGATAGTGTCTGGAAGTTAGACTAAAAGAATTACCAAAACTACAAAGTCATGTCTTATAGCCAACGGCATTGTCTTCATTTATCATGGCCAAATTTCAGTTCTTCATTATCACAAAAAGAGAGATATCTCACCTAGTTCTTGCAGACACACGTATCACAAAACTTGTGCTAATCCCTGTGTTGATGCTATATAACCTACAGCAAGAAAATATTCCAGTGTTTGTGTATTTCAGTTGTGTTAGTCAAAATACAAGGCTTCAAATTCAGTTTCCTTCTGAAGCCAGCCAACAGTACTTTTATTTTTTTTCTTTTCTAACAACTATTAATATTTTTTCAGTTGGCCCAGAAGAAGTCCTTCATGAAGCCGACAAATTTAGTTCTTTGTTCACTCTGCACAACGCTTTCATTTCCAACACTGACAGACAGAAGTATTGTGTTTCCTAATGTATTACAAGGAATCCCATGATTTAGCTGTTGCTATTAAAGAATGATATTCAGAGATTATGTTCTGAAGTGAAATGACTTCTACCTATCTTTCTCTTACACTCTAGACAGAACTTATAAAACATTTACCTACACCAATATCTTACTGCAGAAAAAGGTAGGTGATTTTTGACAAGGTTATCTATTATTTTGTTGCCTATTCCTTAAGTTCTGCCAAAGGAAGGACTACTTAAGTTTATACTCTTTGTACGCTAACCATCTTAAATGACCCTTCTGATTTACTATGCCAAAATAATACGTTGAAGTGTATTAAAATAAATATGGCAGATAATACTGCAGAAGGTCAGTATTTGTGAAAGTTTAATACTCAGTACACCACTTGCACTTTAACATCAAGAGAATAACCACTATCATACTGGACACAAATTGATACGATCCCCACGCCTTTGATTTACTGAAAAGATATTTGACACTGAGTGACTACATGAGGCTTTATGTCCTATTTCCACTCCTCATTTTCAAGTTTTCCCTGCATCACCAACATTTTGGTCACTTGCCTCAGAACTTTCCTTTTAATCTGGAGGCTGCTCAGGGGCAGTGTTAAATTGTGGCATAAGATAAGACTAAATACAATGGATTATAAGCTCAGCCTGCTACTCAGACATACACACCACTGGAGAAGAAAACAGTTTCTCTGTTTTTTCCCCCACTAACTACTAAATAGGCACTTTTTCAGCATAGAGGTACATGACAAATATGAAAAGATGCTGTTCGGAAAGATCAGAAGCCTATAAAGGACAATAAGCTTTGCTTTATTGCTTTATATCTGCACAGCACATTTTTTACATATAAATTCATGCACATTATTTCATTCTGAAACACACTTGTCAAGTTACTGGTAAGGTTCTCTGTATTTTTTCCAGATGTCTATTCTTACACATGTATACTGAGATTAAGTTCATAAATCTCATTTGTGTAAAAAGAAGCCCAATTTTCCAAAATGGCAAACCATGGAAAATACCACTGAAACTCACTGAAATCAGCAATGTATTTAAAAATAAGAATGAAAAAATAAAGTATGTACCAGTCTTCATTTTGCAACTGCTTTTATAATTTCTGGGGAAAAAACACCACAGTTACTGGCAATACCTCAGTTCACCTCAAAAACTTATCTGAATACATGTCAGATATTTTCTATTACAGTTAAATTGGAAAAAGAAAAGTCGAGGGTGCTAAGAAAAAAATATTGATTTTTCCACCTGGTAGAAATAACCACAAACAAGTTAGAAAGCACTGCATTCTAGGAATAAACAAGTAGTTGTGTAATTACATATTTCAGTTTGCAAGAACAGCTATTCTTCTGCATTAAGATGTGTCATTCTCCCAGTGAATAAAAAAATTATGATAATAAACACAATTGTCAAGTTTAAAATAAAGAAAAATAATAACGTATCAATCCATCACAAAATCCCCAAGCAACTACTTTAACAAAAATGAAAGTGTAGAGGCTATATAAACCAGAATGTTGGAGCTCAGAATCTGGAAATTTGTGTATTGATGGCATTAGAATAACTACATTAGATATGCTTTCCAGAAAGAATCCCCAGAGCGTAAATTTGTGTTGTCATGTTGTGTTTTGTTTCAATTTTTCTGGTTTTATGTTCTGGTGATTGCAGGTAAGTATAACACGTGCATTCGTTTTACGATAGATTTTGCGAGTGAACACTTGAACCCACAACATTTTCCAGACTCTGACACATCACCATCATCACATGCCATATGTTTCAATGCATAAAATGAAGTAAATACGTGAAGATTTCAAATTCTAAACTGTTTCTGAATGTGATGCAAAGTTGAGGCACATATATTTTGCTATTCAAAACAAGAAATCTAGTCACTTCATAAAAAAGAGTCGCTAGCAGTTCCTGAGATATAGATCTAGTTCTCACAAGCCATTTGATCTGCCTTACGTAGCATAAACGTCAGCAGCCAAAACATTCCAAATTCATATCAGGTGACCACATCCTTAAATCACACTGCTCCATTCATGGCAAAGCACAGCAGTAGCTTCTCTTCAGGAAGACGGAGAGAAACAGTAAAAAGAATGGTCTTACTTGCTAAGCAAGAGAGTCAAGGACATCACCATTTCCTGAAGCACCTTCTTCAGATTTCAAAAAACAAAGCTTACCTTTCTGTACACCAGCATGTTTGGGGATTCATCAGCCACCCCATTGCTGCTTTGCCCATAATTATTTCCTTGTGCCATGTCCCACAGATTTGATCCGCTTTTGGTACACTGTAAAAGGTACAAGTGGTCTCAGTAAGACACTTCCTCAGGTCTCCTTCCCTCCTTGATGATTAATGGATGTGACTTTATACCAAGATGTTATTAGATTCAGTGTATGCTCTGAACTTTGCTACAGATATTTACATTGAAGCTAATTCACCATTTATTGTCATTACTCTCTTTTGCCTGTAAATAATGAATGTAACATGTTAATCTAATTCGGACATTAATGAATCGTTACTCCAAATAGTTCCCTGACATCTCACTAACCACCTCATCACGAGGAGCCTCTCCCCACACACTCCCTCCTGAGCTGCACTTCCAACCAGGGATGCTCAGCACTCTCCCGACCACCGTTTGGGGGGGGACTGACTGGGCCCACGACTTCGTGTTCAGCTCTGCCCTAATCTCACGGCTCGAACAAAAGCAACTTCCACAACCCACAAACACACGGCGAGAAGAACAGCCTCCTTAAAAACTTCTCTTGGCATCAAACAAGAAACACGACAGAACGCGCTCCCGCTTGCTTTCACCTACTTTCCTCGTAGTTCACCGCAAAGCCTCGTCTGAGCCGCCAGCCCCGGCTCCTCCCGCCCTCCCCAACCCCCCCCCCACGCTCACCCGGGAGCCGCACTGAGCGCTCAGCTCCTGCTGTAGCTCCGGCTTTGCACGCAGGTGTAAGAATGTGCTCCATCTACAGACGGCACCGGAGGCTGCGGAGAGCGGGGCGGACTAAGCTCTGCCCCAAACATCTCCCTCCGGAGCCCCCTCGAACCCCTCCCCAGACCTCCCGATGGGGGCTGAGCCGCATCTCGCCCTCGGCACGCCCCGCCCGGCGCCTGCCCCGCCGTGCCCGCACCTCCCGGCAGTAAATGGCCGGGGGAGCCCTGCGGGCAGAGCGGCACGGCGCTTTCAGCACCGCGGACAGCGGCAGCGGCACGGCCGCGGGGAGGGCGCGGGGCTCGGTTACCTCCCGGGCCAAGGTCAGTGCGGGGTGGCCGCGGCTCCTCGGCTCCTCCTGCCGCTGCTCCTGGCGCGCCCGGCGCTGGGGGTGTCAGCCGGCGGCGGGCGGAGGGACGCGGCGATCGCTCATCACACACACGCGCGCACGCACACACGCTGCGGCTGCGGCTCTCCCCGCTCTGGCGGAGCGGCGGCAGCTCAGCGCCCGCCCCGCAATGGAGCGGCCGTCACGTGGGGAACGGGCACGTCAAAGGTGCTGCTGTGCTGTGCTGCGCTGCCGCCGCCGCTCCGCCACGCAGCGGCCCAGCGCCGAAACCCGCGGCCGAGAAACTACAGCTGTCCGCGGATCTGGCGGTAGCCCCCGTAAATGAGATCAGACGCCCGAGGGCTGGGCAGGAAGAGAAATGCGGGCTAGCGAAGGAAAGAGAGAAGTCAGTGGTGAAAGACTAAGGGGAAGCATATGTCACCTGTCTCCTTCTTACACATTTCCCGACAGTAACAGGGATCTATCTGCCCGTTCCTCTGCCTGGGCGCTTCCGTATTTTTTCAGGATGATCTGGGGAGAACTCGTGCCCTGTTGGCACTGCAGACCTCTGAGCAGCAGGGGAGCAGAGAGCGAGTCTGTTCCAGCCAGCGGGAAGGAGTCCCGAGGACACTTCAGGACACCGTCAGGGCTGCTTTGCTGTATGCAGGCAACTGCCTGATTTGCAAAGGCATAGAGCTGACCACGATAAAATAAAAAATAAGGTCTCTTAAGTCATGCTCTCTCACCACACGGATTAGAATGCTTTCATTTTCCAAAAGCACTGAAATGCCTCACACTCAACATCCACAAGAACAGGAGATACCTAACTGGTTAGCTTTGGGATGTTCCCATTTGAAAGCGTCCTTTCTGGAAACATAAGCTCTTACTACAAGGATGATCTTGCAAAAAAAAAGGAGTCACATTATGTTTGCACTTCACCTTGTGGATTATGCACTGCTAGAAGTGCACAATTTAAGCACAGAGATTCCTATACATACTGCATATTCCATTTTTTCTGCCTTTCTCCCATCTCAAAGACATTAATGACATCCTGCTAGAAATCATTAGGACCTACTGTTAGCTACTAACTCCTCTTCCAAAACTTTGCAAATATCTTGAAGTCCTTTCGAAAGTGAATGTGACAAGCTAAGGCATCAATAGTGAGTCACAGTGGCCATTGCACAGTAAAGGAGACAGGACAGGGTTGATTTGGACTTCCTAGAAAGCTGAGGAAAGAAAGAATTAAAAATAGCACTGTAAAAAACACTGGAGTAGAGAGCAGACCTTAAGCATGAATACGTATGTTCTTCAGGGAAAGCAGAAGTAAAAGCTGAGATGACCTAACAAAGTAATTTCCCTAGCTTCAGCACACACTTCCTAAGCAAGCAGCACTGCAGTGGCTCAGAAATGTACTGACAGTCAAGGGAAATATCTTCCAAGATATGTCAAGAATAGAAGAACAGTTGTATTGCAGTAAAATAAGCTTATATTCTTATTTATCCAGCTGTTGATCAAACTTCTCTTTCAGGGTAAAAACAAAAACTGCATAAAATTTATTTCAAAATTTGAAGAGGAGGAAAAATCACAAAAAATGTTGATCATGCACATGTTCCTTCCATTTACTTGGCCAGCCAATGCTCAGTATAGAATTTGTGTTAAAGAATGTGAAAAAAGAATCATAAGCAAGTTTCCAATAAAGTCTCATGCTTGTTTTCTTACTCTGCCTGATCTAATTATAAATCCAAGTGAAAAAATACTACAGAAAACAAAATTATTTTGTACTGGAATTCTTGGACTACATACATAAAGATGTTACAAGATGTTTCTAATCTACCTATTCGCAAACAAGATTTTGGCAAGGATTCTGTCTTTGAAAAACTCCCCAAAGCTGACTAACTTCGGCAATGCATTTTCAAGCTTTTATTTTCTGGGAATCTCTTAAAAAAAAAAAATAAATAAAGGTAGGGGTATCCCAAGTTGAGTTAGAATTTTGGCTATACTGCCTCCAATCATGCTTTTTCTTCTAACATTGATTAATTTCACAAATAAATGAAAACATCATACTAGTTGGGCAAAGCTTAGATATTTTCTTTGAAAATAGTTAATTACCATAAATCAAGTTCTAAAGTAAATTTGTTCAAATATGCTGACAGAGCAACAATCTAGACCTACTGAAGCCAGTATGTTTGCCCATTAACATTAAAAGGAACAATATTTCACAGTCTTTAATCTTGTCCTTGAAAATAAAATTCAGTCTATAATCACTACTATATATCTTTTAACTACAGACTTGCTATACTGAAACATATCAAGAAAGTCTTCACTTCACCAGTTTGTCCATTGTCAAAAATGGAAAAGAAGCTCTGATCTCCAAGAGGGCTAAACAAAAGAGAAAACCAGAAACAACCTAACAAAATTTCTGTCTGCCACTATTTTGTGATGAAACAGACCCTGGAGTGGACTGTTTCATAAGTGCAAGTAAAAAGAAATTAATTTCTTTTAAAAATACGTAACTGATATAATTTCATCCTAACAGTTGGATATGCTTGTTCAGTAGCCTATAAGGGGCTTTATAATTCATAAATTACTTATGTATCTTGTCACATTGAGAGTCATCACTCATTTCATATACAATCAGCATTAGCATCCTCAGAAAGCACGGTCTGCCAGAAGAGGAATGTCTTGTTTCAAAATGCAAAGCAAAACTACTCATTAATAAAACAATGATGATGGGAAAGGCTGCCAAGGGGCAGCTTTATCTAACAAGGCAATAAAGTACACATGATTTAGCAAGGTGGTGACTACATTTTCTGTGTTTAGTTGGCATTGTCAATACAACTCAAGTATTCTGATAACATCATAAGCACATGGTACACATAACACAGGCATTTTTAAGTCAAAACATTATGTCAGGATGTTTTTTCCTATCTGGATTTAAAATAGATCAGGAATGTTTATCTCTGTTATGCTGACCAATGCTGTAGCATTACATCAGTATGCTGTCTATATCCATCAATTATCTCATTTTATACCTATACTGAATGTTCTTTGGAATAGATGATGTGCAAACTCTTAGAACAGTATGATCTAGTTCTATGATGAAGTCTTGAAAACGCAACTGCATTATAAACAATCACATTTGAATATACTAAACTAACAGAAACCTTTCATCTAGGCTCTAAACCCTAAATACTCACTTGAGTTGTTCTGTGCTACTTTAAAGTATAAAATCCAAGGGTTTTTTTCCTGCTAGCATAGTTAAGCACAAAGACAGTCCTTCTAGTTCAGTCAAACAGATATTTATGATCCTACAGACCTGCGAATATTTAAGTGCCAGGCTCTGAATTGGTAGCTAGAGAGTCCAGAACAAATTCACAGCCTGTGGAAATTTGGAACACCTACTCCTTCAAAAATGAATGGCAATCAAACCATTTAGTGTAGGCCATCAAATGCCATTCAAATTATTACAAGTTACAGTATGTATTTGATAGAAATGTACCTTGGACTGACGTGACAAATTTCACTATTTCCTTTGTGAAACTTATTTTTAAGCCATGGGCATCTGGTTTGCCACCCTCAGTCAAGTTTCATTACTTTCATCAATTTGTGATGCAGAAGATCGAACTATGCATTCATTTTATTAGAGCAAGGGGTCACAAAACATGGAAGAGAGGATCTTTAAAATTAGAGAGTAAAAAGTAACTAAATAGCACTATATTTAATGGAAAAAAAATTTAACCAATAAAACAGAGCAACAAAAATATGCTAGGTTATGGCCACGCATAATCTCACATGATGGGGAAATTATTAGAAATAAGGAAATCCCACATCCTCATTAGTATGATATATACACACTACATACATTATGCATAGCAGGATATGAAACTTAAATGCAGCTAACAATCTCCTGAAGATGTTGGCTACAACCATCATAGATAACCACAGCTACATAGATTTTGATATCAAAGTGGCGTCCACCTCATTCACCCATGGAAATTCACCAGCTTCTACAGACAAAGCA